CTCCAATTCCCTCGCCCCCTCCCCCCCCCCCCCCCCCCCCCGCCACACACCCACAAAGAAACAGGAACTGCCTGGCATGGTAAAGGCTCAGTCACTGCCGGACTGTATTCAAGAAAACAGGTCTTGACCATGGCCTCTGTTCTCGGGCCTAAGCAAGAAACAGTGAGCCACCCAAGGCCAGGCCTTACTGGAAGCATAAAGATGACTATGCTGCTTCAAAAGAGCAGCTGGGTTTCAAGCAAAAAGCAGTGTTTACATGCAAGACAGGTGGGGTCAAATTCACTGACCTGCAGGACTCTCTGTCTGCCAGCAAGCACGCATGACAAATTGCAACACGGGGACTCTGGCAGCTGTCATGGCCCCTTGTGTACTCCGGCCTCTCGGATAACCAGGGCCATGCAATGTGTTAAAAATTCTTAGTTTGAATCTCCTTTCAGCCTTTTCACTCCCGGAGTAGGCAACCCTTAAGGAGGTGGGTATTGGTGGGACTGGGATTCACAGCAGAGTTCCTGAATTGCATGATGCAGGGCCCTGTACCCAGGAACCAAAGCCAGGTATCTGACCAACCATAAGGATTCTGACCATTAGCCACCAACCCTTCTCCTTCTGCTAAGAGTGCAGCTTCCTCTTCTCCCCAGCCCGTCAGTCTTTGGTATTGGGTGGGCTTGGAGAATCCCTGTTCTCCTTGCCTGACCGGCCTTTCTTTCTAAGGCATTGGTGCTACTCAGAGAAACAAGCCTCTACTTCGTTTCCCTCCATTTTTCTAGCTAGAATATGTTGTATTTGCATCTTGACTTGTTTTTGCCATTTGTGTTGGCATGATTTGATTGTGTAGATGGAATTATTTGAATGTTGCAGAAACCAATGAGGTATGAAGGGATTGATCTTCCTGAGAATTATTTGAATGTTGCAGAAACCAATGAGGTATGAAGGGATTGATCTTCCTGAGACCCTCTGGAAAGAGTGAGTTGCTACCAAATATTGGGTGTGAAAAACAACGAAGACAAGTCAAGTGTGTACCCACAGAGCCCATCACAAGACATCATATTCTCTAGAAGGGAGCACAGTTGTGATTCAAGAAAGTTCCCGGAGACTAAAGTCGGGGAGGGCTTACGTCCAGAGGGAACAGCTCATTCCCGCCATAGAAAATTGGCAGAAGTTTACATCATATAGATAGGAATCTTCCATTTGCATGATTTATGTTAAAATAGCATACTTAGGATAGGTGCAGAACCATTTTTATGATGTCCCTTTGGACTGGTTTTTGATTAATTGAGCACAGTTACTTCCTTTAACATCTGTTCTGGGTAGGCCTCAGGTCTGAAATTTGTGATTGCTGGCAGTGGTCATGACTGGCAGTATTTCCTGTACAGAATCATCAGAATGTTGGGAAGCAGTCTGATGAACTGGCTGACTTGTAGGAACGGTGAGGTTTAATTGAATCCTAGTTTGAAGAGTCTGTGAAATAAGTTTTTTGGGGGGAGGGCAGGCAGTGGTGTCCACTATTAAAGTATTAATATGTAGAATGTTCCAGAACCTTCTTCTTAAACCCAAGTTTAACAATGGTTAATTGTGGGTTGTGGGGATTGTTAGGTGCTGGTACTACTCTGAAGGTACTAATTTTAGTTTAAGCTACTTGCCTGTACAGAAGATTTCCTACTCTATTTTCCTTCTGACTGATACTACCCTGTAGGATCTATGTACGTTGTACAGAGCTGATGGCGGTTTGTGATGTGGATGAGTGGCCATCTCTGTTCAGTTTTGAAGATGCATGCCACCAAATCAACTCAGTCTTCTCTATAATCATATCTTTTTGTGGGTGAGTGTGCCAGTACTGGGACTTGAACTCAGGACCTCTACCTCTTACTTGGCCTTTTTCTCTCAAGCTGACACTTTACTGCTTGAGCTACAGCTCTCTGTTTGACGTTTTGCTGGTTAACTGGAGATAAAAGACTCTTGGATTTATCTATGTGAACTGACTTCACACTGGGATCCGCAGATCTCAGCTTCTCGTAGCTAGGATTACAGGCGTAAGCAACTAGCACCTGGTTGTACCCCTATCCTTAGCAGTAAAGCAACTAGCACCTGGCTATACAAGCCCTATCCTTAGCAGAGGGACCTCTGTGGTGCAGTCACTGATAGGATCATCATTCCTCTTTCTTTTGCCTGGGAGTCTTCTGCTTCTTTGGCAAATTCCTATAGTGCTTAGACAGAGAGCCAGAGGCTAAAGTATTAGGATTCATGTTCATCGCTGGTTAAGCCAATTCAAAACAGTAACCACTCCAGGCTAATTCCTATCCTTTCCAGACTTGTTAAATCACTTTTAATATCACTTTTTATGTTAAGTCACTTCTGGATTTAGAGCTAAATTTATTCAGATTATTTCGGTTACATTGGATAGTGTCCTAATAAATTCCTTTTTCAATCATTCAGAAGATGTTAAATAGGTTGAGGCTGAACACGCCCATTCTCTGAGCCTTTTCTGGAAATCTTCATTCCTTTCTGTCTGGTTACATTAAAAAAGTGGATGAGATTTAGCTCCTGAAATAGTGGACGCTAAAGTCTAAGGATGCCTTGAGAGTCTGCCTCGAGAGCTACATCATCCCCTCATTTCCTAATGCACGAATGTCAGTGAAGGTTATTTTATGTCTGAATTACACTCCCTTGCTCTTGACTCGGAATTCTCATCCCTGTAACAGTATGGTGAAATGAGGCCACTGGGCATGCTAGATTCTGTCCTAGACTTGACTTCAGAGTTCTCTAAGGAACCTCTTGATGTGTGTGACCTTTCACCTCCACATGGGCCAGAGCCAGGAACAGTCATTTTTTCTAGCTGTCATTGTGTCTAGCTGTCAACATCTGGGACCTGATGATTTTGTTGTCATCTGACTAGAGCACACATGATGTCAGGATTATGCCTGGCTTTTCCCTGCTAGATGCCAGTTGTACCTGTCCACTCATGGCAGTGGAAAGGGTCTCCCTTTGCCAGGTAGGCCCAGGGAGTCGAAGATGTTGGCCTTGGCCCACAACTTCCACAGTAAGGAATGGGTTCATGCACCAGCTAGGCTGTGCTGTGGGAAGGAGAGGGTGTCTTTCCCTCAGGAGAGGAGCCTGTGGGGCTGAGATTGTGTGGCTGAATTTGTTGTTGCTCTAAGTCTGAATTTTATTTAAAAAACAAGGTCTGACTGTGTAGCCCAGTCTCGAACTGCTATGTATTCCAGGCTGGCCTTGAAGTTGTGACTTTCCTGCCTCAGCCACCCAAGTGCTGTGAATACAATGATGCAGCACCAGGCCTGGCTCATGTCTGACATCTTGATACACAGGAAAGTAACTATAAAGTTATTTCAGTGGGTTTTTGTCATTTGTTTGTTTTTGTTTATCGAAGGAGGGGCATCTTTATATATTTTAGGCATATAACTATTCAGTTATGTGGTAGCTTTTCTTGATAATGTGGAAGATTACTAAAATCAATTCATTCAATAGCAGATATATATAATATACATATGTAATATATATAATGTACATATAATATACACTTGTTATTCTTATACCAACAGGTATAGAAATAAATGCCTAGCATCACTAGCCAGAAGAAATTACAGATTAGAACCACAGTAAAATGCCACCTTACCCCATTTACAGTAACATTAGCAATCAGGCAAAAAATAGCAGATGTTGGTAAGGATGTGGAGGTACAGGAGCACTGTTGGTGGGAATGTAAATTAGGACAGCCATTATGGAAAACAGTATGGAAGTACCTGAAAACCTAGAAGTAGGACAAGTATGCTGGTGAGTGCCTGCAGTCTTAGCTCCTTGGGAGGTTGAGGCAAGAAGATTTCAGATGTAAAGTCACCCTGAGCAGAAGTATTACAAGATCCTGTCTCAAAAGGAAAATTCAAAGAATCTCACAAGACTGATGAGAGGGGATGATGGGAGGAGTGACACTGATCAAGACGCACTGAACTCATCACCTGACACGCGGAATACAGACTCCTTGGTGCAACTACTTAAAGAGAATAACAGAAAAGAAAAATACTTAATAAATAAAAAACAGCAGGGCTGGGAGAATGACTCAAGTAGTGGAGCTCTGACTTTCCACGTGCAAGACTCTAGGTTTTACTCCAAGACCAAGGAAAAAAATACCCGCCAAAATAAACTTTTAAGAGCTGGATCCACAGGATCTTACAGCCCGTTCCTGGGCACTCATGCAAGGGAATGCAGGCAGAGTGTCAGAAACCCTCAGCACTGACAGCTCTGCTGCAACCCTGTCGTAGCAGCTGGAACATGGGGTCCCCTTACGGTCTGCAGTCTTAGCTTTCATAAGATGAGCAAAATCATAACATCTCTCACTGCTTTGGACTGTGTCTTAAAAATCCTGAATGACTGCCAACGTTCTAACACAGCTGCTTTCCCGGTGAAAGTTTCTGCTCTATTCTTGTGGATGTCAATAACATAAACTTTAGTTCAAAAAGAAAACAAAACAACAACAAAAAAAAAACCACAGCATGAAGAATGGCCAGAGAGAAAGGATCGTGCCACGAGGAAGAGAATGACCCGCTCCTTATGAGTTCCCACGAATTAATTGCCCGTGTGGTGCGAGTGGCTGGACCTTCCAGGGCATTTTGAACTCATAAAGTGTTTCTTTTGCCTTGATCTATGCTAGCTGAAGGGCTTATATTTTACAGCCTTGCCAGAGCGTACAGTGCGGTACTCATGGTATCGATTCTAAGGGACGGAGCCATCAAGCCGATCCCAGCTCTTGAATCCACAGAGGAACATAAGCAAGACAAATGGGTTCGCGCTCTCCTTCATCCTGCGCTCACGCATACCTGAGGGGTGGTATTTACAGGTAACTTAGGATTATGGTCAAGGCAGGCCCCTTAGTTTCTGTCAGATCGAGTCATCCCAGCATGGCCCCAGATGGATCTTGTATTTGTGGTTAAACATCATTTGTCAGAGTTTAAAAAAAAAAAAGTGGGAAGAGGAGAATGTTGACCTACCTATAGATAATGCATGCACTGTTCCTGCATGTGTCACAATTAGCTGTGTCTTGCCCCGTCCGATATGAAAGCCTACAAGATAAGAACAGGAGAGCATTACAAGCGGTGGCTGGGGGGTCGCTGGCCTCTAGAGTCGCAAATCAGATGCTTTCACAAAGCCCAGCTGGCCAGGTTCATGGAAACTGTCTCTGCTTCTAGTGTACCCGGTCCATGCAACACCCACAGCTGAGAAGATATTTAAATGAGGTTGCCAACAGAAGCTCCTGGATGAAGTACATCATCTGATTTGGTTATAAGCACAGGGAATATGGGATGTTTCCGTGCAGCTTTATATTTAGGATGTTTGAAAGAAAATTGGAAGAGAATCTAACCCAGATTGAGCTGCTGCTGCTGCTGGCCTTGCTTTTGCCCTCTACCTCCTGCCCCCTGCGAGAGCAGGGCTTGACACACTCCAGCCCACAGGCTTTGTCCCTGCCTCATTTGTGCTTGGTCTTCCCAGGTATTGAGTGGGGTTTTACATGTTTAAATGCTTAAAAAGTTGATAGAAGATTATTTGTGACTCAAGTCAGGTTTTCAGAAGTTTAGATGGCAGGGTCCATAAAGTTTTTAAGTGTTAATAGTGAAGGTGTTTGCATAAATACCTATGCAGTATTTTTGATTTTGCCCCTCGGTCTACAGATCCCACAATATTTACTGCACGGCTGTGTGAGTAACCAGAGTGTCATCATGTAGATGATGATTTACTGTCTCAGGGGTGTTCTCTGTTGAACGTCACTGGTCCTGTGAGACCACCCAGGTTTTGGCATGCCTATGTGTAGTGAGCTGCGATCCTCCCTCCTGTCAAAACAAAATAGCCTTGGACAATTTTTGTAGCAAAATGTTGAAGGTTGTGTGGACTTACGAACTATGCTGGGAGGATTTTCTTGACTAGGTTGGAATTGCCTGAAATATGCATCGGCCCGGTCTTCTTAAGGAACAAGGATGAGCAGGCTTTTCTCCCGGAAGATTTTATTTTATAGCCTGGTCTTTCCTCTCTGCTGTTTGCAACCTGAAGGTGTGTTTATCCTGAATATTGTTTTGTATTCAGGGACAAAGAGCCTCAAGCAATTCTGTTAAACCTGTGGAAGAAGGAAAGCTTCTCTCCTCCTCTCGGAATTGGCTTCTCATCACATTGGGGGTAGATTTACACGGGGACTTACCCAATGCTGGTATAGTGTGCACAGAGGCTTTCTGTCAACATTGGTAGTCGATATTCTTATCACCTTCGCTGTGTTCCCTGCTTGTGTGTGCATCATGGACTTTAAAATGGAAAATAACTTAGGTTTCCTCATTGGAGTTATAGAAACATTTGACAAAAGGATTGTCTGCTCAGTGCTGAGGTTATCTGCCTGACCTTGGACAAATACAGGTGACCTTTGCATTTGCTATTGCTTGTTCATCAAGTGAAGTTTTTTCTGTCCCCAAAATGTTGCCAAGTCTCTTCTGCAGTTGAACAGGAATCCTAGCCTCACTGCACTTCTATCGTCTCTATCATTGCATCCTATTTGGGGCACCTTTGGCCACTCAAGTTCGGCCTTTCCATTCTGCCTTTAGGTTTGTCCACATTGAGAAGGAAAGAGGAGCTTGTACCTTACACCTTCTCCTCCTCCTCCTCCTCCTCCTCCTCCTCCTCCTCCTTCTCCTCCTCCCCCTCCCCCTCCCCCTCCTCCTCCTCCCACGGTAACTTGTGCCCACCTCCCAATCCCCAACCCCAGAGCTTTGGAATGGTCCAGTCCTTGCCACGTCCCTCTAAGACCCAGCACGGCTCTCACTGTCTACCCATCCATCCCTTGGATATGCAGAATAGCTTTCTCTGTCCAGCTTACTCTACTTGAACTTGGCACTGTGCTCGTTTCTGACCAGAGTTATTCTGCACAGGGAAATAAGTATCATCCTAGAGCCCAAGTCCTGGTCCCGATGTGCTTCATGCCAAATGTGGTGTCACACTGTTGGTTTTGAGAAGAGGCGCTGCTATTCTATGCCTTACAAGTGGTGGAAGGAGACAATGTGTAGTTATCTGCGTGTGCCAGTCACATCCAGCTTCAGCTGCTCACAGAAGGCAGCATCAGGGTAGTTCTCAACTATTTTCATAGGGCTCTCTACAGTGTATTTCAAGCTCTCAGAATCTTCCTAGATCTCAGGACAGTGTTTATAGAGCTTTATTAACATCAACATCTCTTCTTGGCTTGGTGGCTTTGGTGTTTCCAAGGGCCTCACTTACATTACAGCCTGGAATCTTCCAGTTAATTATGCTAGACTCATTTCACAGAGAAGACACGAGTACTTCCGGTGCAGAAGCTCATTATTCTCAGACCCCAGGCTTCTGTTGCTCCGTTTCGCCTGTGTCTGCACTATATAATTGGCAGCTTGGGACAGTAGGTGAGTTTGGCAATGACAGGACAAAGGCTTCAGGCACCTCACAGAGGACTCTTTCTGGATGGTTGAGGGCTTCAGTAAGGAATTGCCTTTTGAAAGCTCATCCTGAAAACACTATGTGCTAATCACCTTGAACAATGCACACATTTCCCCCCATAGAGTCAATTTGAAAGTGTATGGTCCCAGGTATCATTGTGACTCCTGGGAAGATGTTTGTGCAATAGGTCCTTGTCCTCATGAAGTTCACAGCAGAAGTGGAGAGGCAGGCAGCTAATGTACCTGTACATGTGAATGGTTGATGCTTAGATCATGTGGATACCAATAAGGGGCTGAACAAAGTGCTGTGAGGGAATGTCTTTGATGTGACCTCTAGGATGTAGCATCTGTAATGAGGCCAGAGGGATAATAAGAAGATAATCACTCATCAATGTTTCCGGCCTGAGTTTTATAAGCACAAGGGCTGTTACGTGTTATCATACGACCACAGGAGCGTTGGTGGCATGTGAGCTAGACACAGTGAGAATTCAGGATAGATGGTGCCCATGGAGGTGAGGGAGGTGATGTTGGATTGTATAACGCTGTATTTTAAGCTGAATTGCAAGTCATTACAGAGTTTTGTCAGTTGGCTGAAAGAATGACCTGAAAAGCCCTCCTCTTATCCGTCCCCCACAGCAATGTGGCCATTCTACCCCAGCCTCTTATTTTTTATACTCACAACCCAACCCAGTTTACTCAGTCCTGCGAAATGGGCTGGTTTGTGTCACATGGTAAGAGGTGTTGGGATCATTTTGCCCACGGTGTATGGGGACCTATCTGTGGTCACTCTCCAGGTATTTTAAAAGAAAATGGCAGGCCAGTCATATTGTTTACTCATAGCTGAGAAATGTTTTTCAAGACTCAATTACTGCAGACGTCTCTTGGTGTGGCCCTTCAGTGTTTTTCTTAAGATCTTTTTCATAAGTGGTTGTTATTTAATGGAATCAAATATTGGTGTCAGAAAGAGCTAGTGAGAGATTAATATATGAATAAAATTTGAACACCAACCTGTGTCATGAGGTAAGCTCAAAGGCTACCACCAGTCAGGACTGCCAATCACCGTATGGCTGCTAAAATTTTATTAAGCATGGGAGTACTCTCAATAGAGGGTTTAAAGAGCTATGTAATTCATTGTGCTTACTGCTCTGGTAATCCATCTAATTGTCCTTGGAACTTCCAGGCTCTAGGGCTTGGCATCACTGATAATTTTATGGTCAAATTAATAATTGGGCCGCAGCATCTGAATGAATGTGTACTCCAAATATAGACGGAACAGAAAAGTTCTTCTGTGGGAGGACACAAAGTGCTGTTCTTGAATTTCTCTATTTTTTCCTCTTCAATTTGGAAACAAATCATAAAACCAGTACTTGAGATGGTAGCCCTTTCATACCGTCTTTGCCACGAAGAGAAGCAATTGTAAGGCTTGATTCCTGGGGCATATACTTCTCCATGGTGATTTGTACAGATATTTTGTGCATTGAAATGTAGACATGTAAGTGCTTACATTATTGATCTAAAACCTACACACAAAAATTTTTCTTGTAATGGGGTTTGAACTGAAGGCCTCCCACTTGCTAGGTTGGTGAACTACCATTTGAGCCATATCTCCAGATCTGCTTTCTTTTCTTGTACCAGTCCTGGGGCCTGAATTCAGGTTGTTGTCCCTAAGCTCTTTTGCTCAAGACTAGTGTGTTACCACTTGAGCCACAGCTGCATTTCTGACTTTTTAGTGGATGATTAGAAATAAGAGTCTCACAGATTTTCCTGCATGGCTGGCTTTGAACAGTGATCCTCAGATCTCTGCACCCAGAGTAACTAGGATTATGAGTGTAAGCCACTAGCACCTGGTCAACTCTACTTTTTGAGTACTCTTTGGAGTCTCAAACTGTAATCCACCAGATCTCAGCCTCCTGAGTATCTAGGATTGCAAGCGCAAATCACCTTATTGGGGCTGCAAAAACATTATGATTAAAAAATACATATTGTCTTCAAAGTTAATTGCCACCTACGCAAAGCTTTTTCTTTGTCGAGGAGCTGATGCTTTATGTGGGCTATTAACTTCATGTGGGATGTGGTGCCTTGTTCTTTCTGGATGTCAATTCATATTTAAGTTAGCCATTGTTTGTTTCTCCAGATACCATGCTAATCTATTTAGAAAGTGGAAGAGAAGGTAGACAATGGAAGTGAACGGTTTGATCCTCTCTTTTACCAATGTGAACTTTTTGGACTCAACTAATGTTGAACATGCTCATTATGAAAAAGGAAATTTTAGTGCCCCCAATGGTGCCTTTCTGTTACTTGTCATCAACACTGACCTTCGACCTTAACTTGTGGAAATGGCATTTAGCACCACGGACAGCATCAAGGATCCAAGGTGCCTTCTGTTTTCCAGTTCTGCTGCCTCTGTAGCGTCTCATCCCCCAGGTGTAACCCACAGGCTGCAGCAGACCCAGGGCCCTGACCTTTCCTTCCTGGATGCCTGTGGCCACCCCTTTGTCAGGATGGGCTTCTTTGACGACTGAAGGCAAGGAGACATTTGGAAGATGCATAGGGTGGGGAGGATAAGGGCTTGGTGGAAATAGGAAGAGGGTAAGGACTTAATTTAACACTCTGTTGAAATG